GAGGAGGTTCACTCACCCTTCGGTGCCAGCATTTGACACAGCAGAAGATGCAGAACCCAATGAAAATCAGAAAGCCACCTACTGCCCCCAGCACAATGGCCAGGAGCTTTGGCGAGGCCTGGGTTAACTCTGAGTGCAAAACTGCAAGAGAGAAGAGAGGTGTGTTCAGCTCACATGACCTTCCCTCTGGGCACCACACTCCGGAGGCCTGAGGAAGGCCTGGCTGCCCAGCCACACTTGGGCCTGATGCTGGGGCTGGGAGACTGGGGCAGGGTCCTCTGGGCTCTCACAGGCCACCAGGCTGGAGGAGAAAGACTGGGGAAGGGTTTTTAAGGTTTGAAGACTACAGGACACTCTGGGGAGCTAGGAGCAGTGGTCCATCCTATGTGCCTTTCACACACACACATGGGCGAGTGCTTGTGGCTGGGTTAGGAAAGAAGCAAGGATGGGGACTCTTGGTCAGGTGGGCCCCATTCATGGGCTGCAGACCTTGGGCAGTTGGGAACTTTCAGGGCTACAGGTGGGTCCCTAGGGTCCAGGACCATACCCTACTTCACCTTATCACCCCTGTGTCCGGGCACCATGCACATAACCCACCTCTCTCAGGAGAGTTGGGAGGCTGGGACTCTGGGTTTTCTTTGCCAACCCTGGGAAGGTCCCACAGCTGAGGAGGCAGGGGCTTGGGGTTAGGCCTCACTCACCCTCGACATTGGATTCCAGCACGACTTTGTTGTTGTCAGTCAGTAGACAATGCCACATCCCCGCCTCAGGGTCCTTCACCTGCACCAGCTCTTGATGACCTGAGACCTTTGTAATCTGGTTGTCCAGCTTCAAGCTCAGCATCAGCTGGGAGGTGTTGGTCCCCAACACCTCGCAGGTCAATTGGTTCTGGGACTTAGTCACTGTAGAGGGACAAGAACCTGAGGTTAGGAGCCTGGACCTCTGAGTTCTTGGCACCTCCATGCTCTAAGGGGAATCAGTAGAACAATCAAAAGGACACTTTACATGGGAGTTCCTCTTTTGGCATCTCAAGCACATTGTCATACAGCTTTAACAGAGAAAACACAGCTTTTGAGGTCCAACAGAACAGTCTTGGATTCAAATCCCAGCCCCACAGCTTACGATCTGTGTCTCTGAGCAAGTTACTTAGCAACCTGAGCCCCAGACAATTATTAATGCACAAGTACTTGTAGGGCTCTTAAATGGGGCCTGGCATGTGGGAAGCATCAAGTATTAGCCATTATTGCTTGTGGGGTTGTTATGGTGATTAAGGAAATAGAGAAGTGAAGAACTCAGTGTGGAGCCTGACATTGTCATCATCACTAGTACACTCAGAGCAAATTTGGTCATCCTCATTAGTAGAAAGCAGACACACACAGGTAGGGGGCTTA